TTGGACCTGAAGATCTCCAAGGTCCCTTCCGACCCTACTTCTATGATTAGACCATCTGGAAACTTTTCCAAAGTACTTTTAAAGGGAAGAAAGTTATCAAGATCGACTTTCTCCTGCAAACAATTTTGGTTTCTTAGAATTAGTGCTTCTTGACAAAAAAAACATTTTGTTGGGGGAAAAACCCGACCAATTTTCTTCATAATGGCATAAGACAATGAAGCAAGTGGGTTGTGGGAAAGGATGAGTAAATACTGCCCACTGTCCTGTGTCCACAGCCCCCACTAGAGTGGTTTGGACTACATACTTGGGCTCACTACTGGATAAGCCCAAGCATTTGAAAGGAGGCATCAAGATTTCACTCTACAATGGAAGCTATGTGACAAGTTTCACTTTCAAGTGGAAAGTTTCCAGGAGGAAGAGGGAAGAATTATTTTGCCATTACACTGGTGAAGTGGTCCATTTCCAGAAGACTTCCCGTAACTTGTATAAATTGAGCCCTCAAGGTATAATGCTCAGGTCAATCCCTCTTTTCTTATACTTGCATCAAGAGATTATCTGCTGAACTGACTGGGGAATTTCCAGAAATGTAGAAATAAATTGAGATTTTGTATTGCTGAGTTTCAGTACTTTTTGAACATGGTCGGCACGTCCAAATCAGCTGCGGGATTTCTGATGTGTCTGAAGGGTGCTTTGTTGTTGTTTGCAATGCACTTATTTACCCAAGAAAGCTCAGCTCTGATTCAGCATCTGGTTCTCATTGAGGTTCTGCTTTTTTTAAACCAAAGTTTTCCAGCTGGGTTGATTGAAGCACAAAGAGGTCAAGCGACTTGTCTGAGGTCATGCAGCAAGTCAGTGGCTCCACTTGGATTAGAGCCCAGAACTGTCCTGAGCTACTACTCCTTTACCCTTAAAGGGACAATTTCACCTTCTGTAAAGTGACCTTATTCGTTGGGGAAAAAGATGGAATAAACTGATTTCCACAAAACTGTAGCCTGTTCAGAGTCAGTTCAGCTGGAAGTTGATGAGTATTCCAAAGACTTAACATACTGAGAAAAAAAATGCAGAACTGGAGAGATTTGGGTCTCAGCATGACACAAGCTCTGTCACCTCAGGCTTGTGTGTTGCATGAGCTCACACAGAAACTTTTTACCACGCTGGCAAGCACCCAGCATCTCATTTATGCTCTATCCTAAAGTCCCCATTTATGTTCCATCCAAGTCTAGTGGCCCAGAGCAGAAACTAAATTCTCTCCTAATCACAAAATTGTTTTGGCTGCTCCTTCTGTCTTCCTGCCCCATGGTGGGGGGTTTGGGGTTGAGTGAGGCTCCATAGCTTCTGGTTAGTGCAAACTGATGAGGGGCACTGTGGGTATACAAAAAGGAAAGAGAACTACCTGGGCTCTTGGACATGCCAACTTTGCAAAGGGACCAACCCTAGCAGGCTCTGTTACTCAAAAATTCAGGACTCTTGCAGGGAATATTTATAGTAATTAGTTATCTTTTAAAATGTTTTTCAAATATTAAGTCCACTGAGTGTTACATAATGGTGCATTAGTGTATTGACAGTGCACTAAGAATAAAGATGCAAAGTTTATTATAATTATATTTTATTGTAACATACCACTATCAAATAAAACCATAAAAGGGCTGAATGACAGGCCCTCTAGTATTGGAAGTCATTTTAGTGTGGCAATATGCATTGATTTTGTGGACTCATGCACCAAACACTTCATAAATTCTCTCAAATCTTACAGAGTGGTTTGAGGAATAGTTCCTCGGAACTAGTCCTACTTTCTGCCAGTCCTTAGGGAGGGTACAACAGCGTGGCTGTTACTTTGTGGCATACTGAATTGCTTCCTGATACCATCCAGGAATTAGTGGGTTGTGACCAAATTCTCAAAGTAGTTGGAAAGGAGCATCCACTGCTGCTCGGTACCACACCGAGACAGACATCTTCCATACAAGTCACAGTGTAGGTTTCTAAATTTTACAGACTGCCCCTTCCACTGCTCAAGAACAAACCACAGCCCACTGTAAAACAGTTGGTGCATCTCCAGACTGTTTCTGGAATTGCTTGCAGCAGTGAGCTCCTGCATAGGACCCTCTTTTTTTGTGTGTGATTTGTGCCGACAGCCATGGGAAATCCTCCGTGCAGGGCAAGAGGTGAATGCGCTGGCATACATATGACAATAAAAGTCTCACTGGTCCAAGGCACAGCTGTATGATAACATGAGGTCTCCATATGTCCCTCACAAAGAAAATCCTTTGACAGTCCTAAAAGCTGATAACTATCTTGGGGCCAAGCTGTGGAAAACCACTGCTAAACTATTTCATGCTTGTATTTGGTCTACTCTTTTAAATGTTTGTAAATGAGAGACCTGTTCAACTCTTTGCCTTCCCAGTTCAAACAAAGACACAAGAGCTCTGCCTCTGCTGGTTGCCTGAGCTGGTAGTGCAGGCAGATGCTTTTGTTTACTAACTCTCCTACATGCTTGGCTGACATGCAATTCAATTCTCCTGGGTTGTCAGTCCCCACACGCCTGCCTTGCACTGCAGTCATTCGCGTGGTGTTCAGCGCCACTGCAGACCAAGAGTGTGCTTCTTGCCTGGGGGAAGAGGAGCAGGGAGGGGACAGGCCAAGGTTTCTCTGTTGGGCTCTTTTCGAGGGGGGTGGAGATAGCATTCTTGGATGCATTTCCCAGACAGACATCGGATAGCTACACTCCCCAGATGGAAAGGGTCGAGTTACAACCAGTTCCACTGCTTCCCTTTAGGATTCTGGGCAACAAAGATTGTAGCTAGCTTTTCAAAGCAATGGGAAAGCTAACATGAGTGTGGCTTCAGGGGCAGATTGTGAAAAGGTGCCATTCACAAGCCCCCGCCCCTCTCCCCCCCACAAAAACCCCAACAAAAAACCAAACCAACATACACTGCATAATAGAGAGTTCAGTCAGAAGCTGGTTATTTCTGAAGGCGCAGAATGCCACCTCAGAGTCTAGATAGCAACCTTGAACAGGCCTCCGGTTTATCTGTCTAGAATAATTCATGTTCAAGCAGCAGGACTGCAAAAGGAAGAGTTCCAAAACGTCCTTATCTTCACGAACTGAGGGCAATCCAATCTTTGCCCAACTTGGAGCCATACCAATGTCTGTCGAAGAGCCAAGTCCCCCTCTTAACTTGAATGCAACTGAAAGTGCTCTAGCACAGTGGTTCCCAAACTCTGACAGGTTGCATGCCACCAGTTTAAAACGGTACAACCTTAAGTACCACCAGTAAATTTTTGTCATATAAAGTAATTATAATAAGTAAGTTAATGCATACCATTGACCGGTTGTCTGTGTACCACTGGAGGTACTCATACCACAGACTGAGAACTGCTGCTCTAGGGTGAGGGAAACAGTCTATCATCCTCTGAAGCTTGCAGAAGAGTTGCTGTAGGTCATTGGTTAGCAAAATCTGGCCTGTGGACTGTATCCGGCCTGCCAATTAATTCAATCCAGACTGCCAACCACTGCTCAAAGCCTGAGGAGGGAGGGCTGTGCCCCACACTGCTCTGCTGTGCCACATCCAGGGCTTGGCCGTGCAGCGTGTAGACTCCTCTGCCACCCTCCCCCTCCCCCACATTCGTGCCCCCTCTTGGCTTCCTGTTGGTGCTGCAGCTGCGCACAGTCTTGGCACCATGGCCACCACAGCCAGGCCTGCATGGGATGGGGCACAACACAGCGTGCCGTGCAGCCATGCTGCCTGCCTGCTGCGATGAGCCACTGCAACTGTGGTGCTGCCAGGAGGTGAGTCCATGCTGGCTGCAAGGGGGATTGACCTGGGGCAGCTACCCCCAACTTTCCCAGTGTAGTGCAGTGACAACAGCTCATTGTAGCAGGCAGGTGACACGGCTACTTGGCACAGCGCATCACGCTCCGTCTTGTGCGGACCCGGCTGACAGCAGCCATGGTGCCAGGACTAGGCAGCACCAACAGGAAACGGGGCGGCGGGAAAGAAGGAGAGAGATGGTTTGAGGAGTCTGCAGGCTGCATGGCCCAACCCCAGCGGTGACAAAGTGGAGCAGGGTGCAGCCCTTCCTCAGGCTCCTGGCAATGGCCCAGATAAGATCAATTGGCATCTCCCCACTGCCACCACCCCCAGCCGTCAACAGCTCACCAGAACTTAAGTGGCCCTCCAGCACAAATAATTGCCCATCCCTGCATATAGGTCCTAGCCTGTAGCCCTCCTTGATAAGATGGAGTTTCTTCAAGAGCAAGATGAGGCAAGCACACACTGGAGCCTGTGCACTCTGCCTGTTGGGCCTACATATCAAAGGGAAGGTCACCCTGGCCTAGGTCTATCCTATAACTTCGGGTGTTCAGGGAGTTCCACTTCTTTTCTATTTAATAGAGATTAGAGGAAGGAAAGGACAACTGCAGGATTTTAAAGATAAGTTTTTGTCATATTTTTTAAAAATCAAGCAAGAACATGAGATGAGGTTTTGAGACCCGATAGTGTCATACAGTGCCACAAATATGACAGGCATTGAAAAGAACTCTCTCACAGCAAAGACCGTAGCATAGTGGTTCTCTACCTTTTTGGACTCAAGACACCCCTCACTGGATTCAAGGCACCCCTCTATACCATATGAAATAAAAAGCACTCAGTTTCAAAAATCTAATTTATACATAACAGTGCTTACCTACTTACAGAGGGTCTGGGAAGTGGGGGTCAGGGGATCATCCAAGCAAGGACAAGCCTCAGTCTGCACTTCTCTGCTTATCTCCTCATACCTCAGGGCACCCTTCAAAGGATCTGGTGGTACCCCAGGGTACCCCAGCACCCTGTTTGAGAACCACTGCTTTAGCAACTCCAGTGTGACCTATATGTATTCTGAATAATCAACAAGAACAATAACTGTCCATAGAAAACAAGAAGGGGAAAATTAATCTGATCTAAATGTTCACAGAGTGCCACACTGGGATAACAAAATCCCAATCTCCTACAAAAACAGCTTACCCTTTGTACGTGGAGCCGGTGGAACTGGTCTGCAATACACTGTAATTTCCGTGCAATTTGGACCTCAGCACGTACTTCTTGGTGACCTTCCTGATGTTCCTCTTGGAGGTGTGGACTCAGCGCAAAGCCAACTGGGGGAACACGTAAACGGTACCCAACGTTCCCTGAAAAACATGAGAGGAAAAAGCTCAGCAGTGAAAACTGCCAAGGTAAAGTTTGGTTCCCTTATTGCACATCATGATGGAAAAAACATGCATGTTATCCTGAATATGCAATACAGGCTGAAGTCTAGCATCTGCAGCCTAAACAATGAATATTCATTCTAAGTAGTCAGTAAAACATTTACTTGGTTTTCCAAGTAGATTTATATTAATCGAGCATAAAGTGTTATGTTCTCTCTCATAACCAAATGGCCAGCAGGAAAAGTATCTCATGCATGGATCAGGGTTGTTTATAATTCAGTCAAGTACTGGGATTTTCTTTCCAATTACAATATTACAATTACCCAACACATATATGCCTCTGCAACACAATAATCTCATTGCATTAACCCTCACTGCAACTTCCAAGTCAGGCTTTCCATGATACCCAGCATTTAGGGCCAACCGGATACAAATGCATGGCTCCATTTCAACAAATGCTGCATGTGAGAAGCCACAGGAAGAATGTGACTGTTAGCATGGATTCTATTTTTTACCTGAATGAAGTTTAAGAATGATGCATCTCTTATTCAGCTTTAACTGAAATTAAATTGTAGAGACCTGGTAACCTGTCAGTTACCATAGAAAAAATATTTGATCATGTTTATTTCCCCTCCCCACCCAATATTCTCCCTCTACAAAGAACTCAAAAATCAGGCCTACAACACTGAAGTCTTTGTACTTCCCCACTCTGCACTGAGAACTCCTAGGCAGTCCCAAAGAAATGGGAAGATTCATATAAGTAGCATATAGATTGGAGGGAATTAATACTTTGCAGTCAAGGGGAAGAAAAAGTACTTTTAAGTGAAGGAAACACTCCACCAAACTCTACTGCCTGCAGCTTTACAACTGCACTTAAGTATTAGAATTAACTCAACTGTAGTATAATAGCATTTAAAAGGCATAGGTGCATAAAGAATGGCAGAAGCAATGAGCAAGAGGATAGATCCTTCATTGAGCAAGCAACGATGAGAAACAAAGGAAAAAATCTTTTGTCAGGGAGTATAACAGCAGTAAGTAACCCTCTGCTGTCTGGTTGGGCTGGAGGAAAGAGAGAAAGTGCTAGAGGGGCACTTTCCCTGCTGCAAAGCTAGTGACTCTGGAGGTCTCTTACCATAGAAGAGTCTCTGGGGCTCTTCAGTGACTCCACAAGGCAACATTACATCCTGACTGGAAGAGGATGGGTTGAGTGTTTGAGTTGCCTTATCCTGCTGCTCAGCATGCCTGCTGCCAGGACCACAGCAGTGAGTGAGCGGGAAAAGTTGAAATCTCCCCAAAAGGCAGCTGTAGGACTGGTTCTGTGTGAAAATGCCAGTAGAGGTCATCTCACCAGGCTGACCTGTGAGTCCAAAGTCATCAGAGTGAAACACGTCATCATCCAGCCCATCCAAGCTGGAATAGTCTTCTTCCAGGTAGCTGGAGGGATCCATTTTTCCTGAAACAGACAAACATTTGAGAAACGAGCTAAGACACAGACAGATTGCAGAATAGCATAAAGTCTCTCCAAGAGGAATACTCTCCAGTAAGGAATACACAGTTCTCCCTGCTCTCCCAAAGTCTTACTTTTCAAGAACTGAAGACCAGTCTACATGGACTGGAAAGATGAGTAATAAAATAATAGTTGAAGTCTGTGATCAAGTTCTGCAGGCCTTGAACAGAGAGCTCTGAAGTCAGCATGTGTCTAAAGCTCCACCTATGGTTCAAAGTCTTAAAATTCATTGATTGATCACAGGAATAATGTCCCCAGTCTCATTCCCTAAAATCACAGGGGAGCATAAGGCCATTGTTTTGAAAATCATGCCAGTCCCTCATGGTGCCCCTCCTGCCTCTGCAGCCACCCGTTCCATTCTGGAGTTCTTATTTGCCTTCTGGTTCTGAACTTTTAGATCCACTCAATCAACATTTTCTCACTTTAATTTGTGATCAAAAGAGTTGGCACCTTCATTAACTATATTTTAACAACAGATACTATGGTAATCACAGGACTACAGCAGCTAGGGCTTTAAGAAAACTAAATATCCAAAGATCTGCAAAAAGTTGATGAAGCTGCTTCTGCCAATGTTCTGTAAGATTCTTCCACTAATTATAACCCAAGTTTCCCTCCCAGTTACCTTATTCCCTACCCTCAGCCTAAGCAAAGAAGTGCCCAAATTTAATAATCCCACTATTGCATGCCCACTTCCCTGTTGTAAAATCTGTGGTCAACACCATTCCTTTAGACCCATGTAGAATTGGAGAAGTCGGAGACATATTTAGTTTCAGGGTCTGAAGTGGGGGTTTTACATACACCAGTGATATTCCCAACCTAACACCAGCCAAAGTGGTTAGGTAAAAATAAAATAGCCATTTCAGAGTTCCTTGTGAACATGTGATAGGTAGAGGAAAGTTTGACAAAAGCCAGGAGTCCCTTACTATTACCTTGGCATCTAACCCAACTTGAAGACAGTCTCCTAAGAGATCCATCTCCAGGATTTCCACCCAGTTCCAACAAGGAAGTGTAATTCAATTCTTCTGAGCCTCTTCCTTTGCTCTGGTTTACGAAGCATTTAACAGGATGGAAGACTAGTAAAGGGAATCCCAGCCCTGAAGGAGACGTTAATAGGAATTTTATAAGACTGGATCCAACAGGTCCCTCAAGCCCACCCCCATATAAATATAAACCTGGTATTTAATTTAATTTAATCCAATTAAAGGAGTTGCAGAGATAAAACAGCACAAAAATATCTGTTCCTCAAGAAACAATACAACTCCTAATAGAATTAGAATTGAACACATAGATCTATAAATATTAATGAAATAACTTAAAATGTGACCAACCCAAACCCAAGCTAGAAGGCTTATCAGGTAAATTAAACATTTAACAGAAGGGCCTTAACAGCAGCAGGAAATTCTGGTTCACATCCCAGCCTGTTTGGCTAAGATCTTAAAAAAATCTTAGCCCAACAGATATTTCTTCTGGACTCTAAAATGAAAATGTCAAGGTTGACAAGTCCAGACACTTACTTTCAGCACCCTGAAGTAAAATCTTTTAGCCCTTTTCAAAGGAAATCTTACCAACAAACACAGACTATCATAATTTCTCAACTGGGACATGCAAACAAATCAGGGTTGTTTATAGCAGTGAAAAAACATATGCATACAATTTGCCTAGTGCATCTTTCATGAGAAAAAAGAAAACCTGCTGCCTAAGAAAGCTAGTGCATTGGCAGTGAAATTCTCATATGCTACAATTCATGCCTATTTTTGAGAACAGAGCAGGCAGGAAAAACAGAGGGAGGGTTCAGCATACACGTGCAAGCTAGCTTCCCACAACAAAGCTGGCTGGTCTAAGTTTAGGACTACCAAATTCCTTTAACTCTTCATTTCCTTCTCCTTCTGGGCTGACCTACTATAAAGTAACATTCATGTGGAGGATTTCAATATAATAAATGTTTGGGTTTTTTTTTTTTAAAAAGGAACTTTAAATTCCTGAACAGACTCAATAGTAGAAATCTTCCCATTATCTGGATTATTGGGTGTTACTACGACTTGCAACATGGCAAGCATTCAGCACTGTGTGTACAAGGCACCATGTTACAGAAATACTTTGTGCTCTATGTAGTCCAAAGCATTTATTTCAACGCACATTAGCTGCCACCACTCCAAAAGCAATTTTTTCCCTTATGATCATTAATTTCTTTCAAATCACTCATTTTAAACCCCTGCCTATGGCAGGCACCTGACTCATTACTTTGTCAGTAATGTGGCAAAGAAGTTTACTTACTGCTGAGACAAAAGGGCAAAAACATTTTTCCCCCACAACAATGTGCCTGAATCTAACAATAAGGAAATGATCTCATCAGTTAAAGAAGCTGCAACAGAGGTGTTTTTTTAGCCTTAAATAAACCTTTTGGGAGGTGCACAGATACCACGGTGATGAGCGCGGTTACAAAAGCCTTGATAAAGTGAGATATTCTTAGGAACAAATGAGGACAACACTAATATGCTTTTATCTAGTGGAAGAAGAGCCTGATCTGACCAGATTGTTCAACCCACTGCAGCTGAACTCGTGAAAGGATGTAGCACAACAATAACTTTGTGGGCTGCCCCTTCAGGCAAGAGATGAACTACACAAAGTTCCCTAATAAGCGTTTTTCTCTTTTAGTCTCCAGGAGTCCAGTGACTCTGCTAGTTACGTTTGAAGGCACAGCTAAGCTGAGTTTGAAGAGAGATGTCATCCCCCTATGCCCCACCAGTATGAGGTTGGTTAGCTCACAGCAGAAAGACCCCAAAGGCCAAGAGAGGCCAAAAAATAAAAAAGGAGGGGGAAAGGGGCATAATGAAACAAATGCTGGGGTGGGGAAGAGGAGCATAATGAAAAACAAGATCTGCAGACTACATGGAGTGGGCTACTCCCTGCTGGCATGGAGAGACCTGGAGTTTCCCGTGCCAGGGCTGGGGAGACTGAAGTTCATGCCTGTCCTCGGCAGTCAGCTGCAAACCTCCCAGATGCAGGCACAGCTCCTGAGCCCTGCCAGTCCCTGCCTGACTCCTGGGCCCGTGGCACAGATTGCTGCCACCTGCCCAGCTCAGCTTCTGCCCGGGGCCGGCCCGGAGGCAGCAGAAAAAGCAGCAGGCACAAGTGTCCTCCCTCCCCGCTCGCCCTCATCTTTTGCCCGCGACCCGCAGCCCCTTTGAGCCTGGTGCTGCAGCCCCTGCCCCGGCGGCGATGACAGCCCGGCCCGGGGAGGCG